CCCACGTAGTGCGATGGAAAATACAACGTCAAAGACGAGGTATTTGATTGTTCCACTGGACAAATTTCATGCTTGAGTCCTACTGATACATTCATGTTGTTGTTTGATTTCAACAGGAAACTGGATTGTTCATCAAAAAGGAGAGGGAAGTTTATTGGTATAAGTGCAAGTGGTGTAGTGGTGAATACAAGGATGGTGAATCGAATCACTATAACTTACAGACGCATCAAGATGGCAAAAAGAATCGGAAATGCTGTTCCCGTCGTCATATCGCAATTCAAAACGGGGTTATTCTGCCTCCAACATGGGAAGAAGAAAACACGTCAAAAGAAACTCCAAATACCCGACAATCTACAATCTCTTCATTTGTAAAATTCACGGTTGAGACCTTGAATAAGATCATGGTCTTATGGATTCTCCTTCATGCTCTCCCATGGCTCCGAATCGATGATCACGAACTTGGTGCAGCGTTCTCGTGGGCCAACCCATCGGCTGTTCTGAAATCTCCGACTTGGATTGCCAATTCAGCCAAATCATTGGCTCAAGCTCTTCAAGACGAGGCAATTGGCACTCTAAAGAACAACTCAAGTCGATTTTGTTTGATACATGATGGGTGGACTACCAAGGGCAGTCGATATGCCTTTCTTGGTGTATCAGCATCTTATATTGACGATGATTGGGAGTTTAAGACGATTCATTTGACTCTCAAGCGAATCATTTGGGACCACTATGGTGTCTTACTTGCACGCCCGGTCGGCACCTTTCTCAAGCGCCATGGGCTCCATTCAAAGATAGGTTTATTACTTATTCTAATGTGATTTGTTCAAGAGCTAACTTTGTATGTATCTTATCTACATGGTAGCTCAAACGACCGACTCAGCAGCCAGCAATAACTTCCTTGCTCGCGAACTCCAGCGAATGTTCATGGAGGATGTGAAAGATCCATACTTTTGGGATTCTCAAGCAAATCATATCCGATGCTTTTGTCACAAGCTCGCACTCGCAGTCAAGCATGGATTGGACACTCTGGAGCTCAAAGCCGGTCATGTGAAGCCTACAACACAACCCGACGTTCGAATGCCGATTCCAATCATCAAGATCAATGGAGCTAATGTGGAGCAAGAGGACGATAAACAAGATGTCAGCTCTGAGTCTGAACTTGAGGCTGAACATGGCTTGGAACGAGCTATAGTCCCTGAAAGTGAAGATGACTTACCTTCAGGAAAGTTAGTTACCAAACCGATGTGGGGTTTGGTCACGAGTGGAGTAAAGAAAGTGAGTGGCTCGATTAGTAATTGATGGATTGGTTTCTAAGGTCTTTGTACGATCTCATGATTATTAGGTTGAACAAGTCAGCCAAGCAGTTGCTTCGTCACCGGCAAAACGAGGTGAATATGAAACGGTTGCTGCTAGTCTTGTATACAAGGGCTTGATGCTTATATACGGGTATGGTGTTCGATGGAACTCTAAGTTGGATAGCTGGCAACGAGCATGCGATGCTCAAAATGTAAATCATCTTTATTATCTCATTTCAATTTCTATTGATGTTGAATAAAACTTTCAACATTTCCAGGTGATCAACAAGTATCTTAACCAAGATCGCAAGAAAGAAAAGAAGGACCAGAAGTTCAATGCGATGCGAATCTCAGATGAAGAATGGAGTGGGGTGGAAGCGTTACTTGACATCTTAAAGGTATGTTTCCTTCTTCAGTTCGATTAAACCTTGATAATATGACTCATCGATTGATCTTGATTCTTTAGATATTCAAAGAGACAACTCTCTCAATGGAAGGAAACTGTTCAAATGCGTACCGTGTACTTCCCGAATACATCAATATCCTTAAACGATTGGATGACTCAAAACGTGAACATGCCAAGAATTATCCTGAACTAGGCCTCGCGATCAATACGATGAAAAAAGAAATTGAAATGTACAAAACCGAAGCTCTTGAATGTGATGCAATAGTTATCGCCACAGCTATGCATCCTCGATATCGACTACAATTTTTTCAAAAGTACTTTCCTGATCATGCCACAAGGGTTCGCGGGGTTCTCGAGGCTGCTTTCGGAGCTGAATTAGCTTCTAGGCCAAGCACCAAGGGTCCAGCAGCTCCGCAGCCGGTCTCTTCTGTACCACCGACTTCAGAAGACAACCTTGACGACTTCACTGATGGTTCCGGTGATGAAGGTTCCCTTGAGACCAACATAGAGCTTAAACAATATTTAGATAAAAAATCAATTGCACCCAGAGGAGTCTTGCCACTTTTGTGGTGGAAGGTATGTAACTTTCTTCGTTTTCCTTATTATCTCCACCAATTAACATTAATTTTGCTATTCTACTCAGGAAAACCACAAGCTGTATCCTGTGGTTGCTCGGGTGGCTCGCAACTACTTGGCCTGTACGGCTACATCGTGCGCATGCGAACGGACATTCTCTGCGGCCGGAAGGATAGCCAGCGCAGACCGAGGACTCGCCCCACGCACTATCGAACGTGCTGTTGGTTGCCACCAATGGCTTAGTCAGGGTATTAAGGTCCCAGAAGAATATGCGGAGGCGGTAGCTGAGATCAAGAAGATAAAAGAGAAGAAATTGGCAAGACGGCTCAAAAAAACTTGATTTTTCAAAATTTGCTTATACTAAAATTTAAAATAATACAAATCCCCGCTTGATATGATCTCTTTCTACTCATTGTTTCCTAATCTTTGTGTGTGTCCCCTAATACATCTATCCCCACCCTAATAATTCTACCAGATACCTTGAAAATTGTTTGTACCTCTGAGATTCGAAATAAATTTCGGTTTCGCTTTGGTTTCGTTGCGGGTTGCGGTTTGTCAAGCGCACCGCAACCCATCAGGTAGTTTAAGGGTTTTGGTATGTGTTTCGATTGCGGCTGACATAATTGCGGTAGCACCGCAACGAAACGAAATTTCCCGATATTTCGGTTCGTTTTGTTGCGATTTGGATGTTGCTCACGCTCCCGGCCGCCAATGTAATCCATACATGGGAGTTCGATTCCGATTCGATCAAAGATCTTGCACCACATATGGATTACATCAAAGCTCTAGTGGAGGATCGTGATTTAATGTTACTACGTTTACAAACTTGTAAGTGAATCACCTTGCATTGAAGTACAATGAAATATCACTGATTTTGTTATCATCAGCTCTGAGGCTGCTACAGATTTCGTCTCAAGATGTTTTGTTATCTCCTGCGTGGTTTGATATGAGCTTCATTCAAGAGAGCACAAAGTACCCTTGGGCCAACAAGAATGCTCTATTCCGCTCGTTGCACGCTATGATGTGCCGAGTAGATCAATCGAGAGATTGGACGAATCACTCAGTCATCAAGTCAAACCTTCAAGGTGGCTATACAATGCTTCACGATCTACTTATCGACAGTGTTTGACTTGTGTCTTTTGGAACCGATCACGACTCTTACTCTATTCGAACTGGAGGAGATGACGGTGTTGCTGAATCTACACTTGGCATGAGTAAGACGATCGCATGGCTGGTATCTCAATGCTACTCCTCAAACGATGACAAATCTCAGACGAAGCGATCTAGACAGTCACAATCCACTATTCGTACGCTTCAGAAGAAGTACTTTCTTGTATTCTTAGGTGTCAATCTAATCTATGAGAGTGAGGTTCACAACCTATTGCTGAAGAAGGCGGAGGTTGTGAAGGTACCAGTTCGAGAGATTAGGTCGATGAAATCTACCCAGAAGTATAACTCAGTCTTGCATCAACTGTTCAATGACCGACATAAATTCAGGAGTGCAAATGCGAAAACCATTGCTGGACCTTCTAAAGCACCAGCATCCATTGGCGGGAATTCGGGCTCTACCTCGACAGCTCAGCCTTCGGCCAAAACTCCTGATACTAAAGTCTTAGCTCAAACATCCCGAGATATTTCAGACCTCAAGAAGCAATGTCTCTTAAATCTTTCTTTGTTCCTGTTATATGGAACTGCGGGTTTATTTCATACCTTGCCGAATTGGAAAGACCAAAGCATGCCACAAATGGCTATGATTATCGCACTTGCTTCCTTGATGACCGATTGACGATTTGGCGCAGTGGGTGACACACCTCATTCTTACGGTTTACGTGCCTGGAATCGGCTTGATAAATTAATGTTTCAAAGCATGAAGCGCTTCCTAACGGAGTCCGGTCAATTCAACATGAAAATAGAATGGAGTTCAATGACAAAACATTTTCATGAAGAATTTGAGGAGAAGAAGCTTGCTGGATACTTCATGTTGGATATGTTGACTGAGACACATAGGCCTGGACTTAGTATTGGTTTGAATGGTTTGGTGCTGGACCATGTTTTCATTGACACAGCCAAGTTGATGAAAATGAACGCGCCGGCCACTGAAACGTTTCAATCTCTGTTGGGTCCCACAGAGGGCCCTTTGCTACCTGTAACTGATCGTGGCCGAAATCTGTACCCAGAGGTCACTGAGCGCACTGAAGAAGACGAAGGCGATGGGGATTTGGGTACTGAAGGGGGAGATGATGAAGAGGATGTTCACGCAAGTGATGGTGCGGGTGATGATTAATCAATTTGTATTTTCAATTATCAAGAAGTATGTGTTTCAGAAGAGATGTCTCTGTTGTCTAGTTTATGATAACTTCCTGCTTTCAATGATCAATTCTATTTGTCATGTTCCTTAAGAATGGTATGTGGTTATGTGTACATGATGTGTGTGGTGCTATAGCCTTCAATGAAATCAGAAAGTGTGTTGATGTTCATATTTTTGCCTTGAGCGATAATTTGAACATGTGACTTAGTGTTGCTCCTATCCCTAAATGACATTTGTCAGTTTCCACTCACTATTGATTCACCAATGTTTGGATTTGAACAATGGTGTTCAATTTCTCGCCTGAGGCGAGAATTTGAACATCTGTCTGCGTTGAGGGTCCGTCATCTTGTCCATTGGGGTTGGCCAGATAGTCTTGATTGTGGCATCCCTTCCTGATTGGAACTTATGTTTCAATCTGTTCAACATGCGTATGTTGGCTTTGTGGTAGTTGGCGGGGGACCCATTGGTGATTCTCGCTGTTCACCGCAATGATTGAGGCGTCATCTGCATTGTTGCGTTGCTGAGGCGTCTAAGTGGCTGTGGAGTGTCGGATATTTTTCAAGAGGCAGTGACACCGCCGTAGTGACTCCGGCGCAGTCACTGCGCCGCAGCTGTGTGTATCTATCATCATGTAGTTAGGTTTGTCCCTGGATATTCTGGTTGAGTGCCGCAGGTCACACCCCACTGCATTCCTGTATCTTCCCAAATTTTCGGCCCATTTGCGTGTAGGCTTCATATTAACATTACTGTATTGTACGTCTGTCCCCTCGCATGTCCACTCCAAGACTCTCTCGTGCCCCCACTGCTACCTCGGCCTTACCTCCCAGCTGACTTATTGCTGCCATCATTGATCAAACTGTCAAGCCACCTGTCACTGTTGTTTCACAAAGGTTTCACACGTGTGACATATATACTGATATTGGTACGTGGTTTCCACCTTGGTTGCGCAAATTATCGCCCTGAGCGATAATTTGTACGTGTATCAAGTGCCGGCGCCAGACGTGCAAAATATCGCCCTGGGCGATATTTTGCACGCATGTGATCATAGCTGATAGGGAGAATGGTTGTGCTGGTTTCTTAGGTCGCAATGGAGGGATCCATGTTCCCTTGTGCGGACAAGGATTGTGATATGGTGTTTCCTAAGAAGGCTAAACTTGATGAGCATCGCCGAGTTGCGCATCAGCTCCAAGTAACAGTCAAACACAATGGGGATGTGTTTATGATTGACAGGGACTGCGAGCGAATGTTCAGGTGTCCAATTGGTGTGTGTGTGTACAAGAATGAAAATCCAAGATATCTCCTGGATCATTGCAAAACTTGCACAGGCATGGGCCCACCGATGGCACATAAGGGGGTTCAGGATGCTGGCACTGCTACAGTTATCCCGTGTGGCGACGAGATTGAAGGTCAGATTGTTGTACCAATGGTCCTTTATCTGTCTGCTGACGCAATTTTCCACAGTTCCTGATGTGCTTACAAAGTATAGCCTGGCGTGGAACAAGCGTTGTAAGATCCTTATATGTCTGGAGTGCCATGTGGGAGTCCATGTGTCAGAGGTCTGGGGCCACGGGACCAGAGCACATGCACCATTTGACTACACAAAGGATGAGGTGAAAGGGGATTTGATTGGTTACTTTGACCTAGTTGAGGGGAATGTCTTTCCGCCTGATTACCGTGCTGATCTTCCTTGTGAGCCCGTGCAAGGGTTAATGTGTTACAATGGGTATACTTGCAAGCTCTGCAACTTGACATGGCCCTGTAAAAAGACCATTGATAATCACTTTTCAATGAAACACGCTGGCGGTAAGTACAGTTCATTGTATGGTACATGCTTGGTCAATGCTGAAGGTTTCTTTGATTTGCCAGATTTGCCTACAGAGGACGTGCGAATGCTGCATTGTCAAAGGGACAAGTGTCAGACCCTTTATCTACACAACCGGACAAAATCCTTTGCTGTGCTCCCTCATGTGCCACAATTTCATGTTGGTTGGCAGCCTGGTGTCCTTGAGGAACAGGTGGTGGAAGAGTCAGATCCTGTGAAGCGTCTTATTGAGAAGCTGGAGTTGGATGCAGTGGAGATGACAGATCACGGAGGCGATACATCTTTGGAGAAAGAACAAGCCAATTGGATCTATGTTACTGGAATTCATACATATATTCAGCTGATGATTGAGTCTGGAAAGACTGTTCCAGAGCTAGTGATTCAGGTTGAAGGCATTAATAGTCTTGAAGTGATGGTACCCTATATTGCAGCATGGATTGACAAGACCATGAAACGTCTGCATGAGACTGGACAACTTGTGAAGCGTCTGTGTATGGCGGAGACAAGGTTTGTATTTTTCACGGTACTTGCGTCTACGTGCTCCAGACACTTTTCTGATCCACATTGCCCCAGTGAATTGGAAGACAATAAAGGTCTGATGCCACTACAGGAAAAGGCTTCTGGTCTCAAGTATGCTCGAATACTCGCGACTTTTATGTGGTACTTGATATGTCAGGCCGAAACCCCTCTGGATCCCGATTATCAGTTATACAATGTCACCAAAGCCTCTGTGTTACGATTACGTGATGTGGTTGCGCCTATGCGACCACCTCTCAAAGTCCCAGGGCAATCTGACGAATCGGACTATACTAGGATCACCAACAATCCTGTGGGGAAACAAGTGGGCAAGGTATTGTGCTCGGTATTCCAAGTGAGGACTGGGGGATGGAGTAAGCAGTATCAGACCCCGCCAATGCAGTTCTTGGCACTTTCGACGCTGAAGGCCGATGGATCCTACCACGACTCTAGTCTACTTACACATCTGATTGCGGCAATACAATATGCAACACGTTTGGCATTTGCTGAGCAGTACCTGGATACTCCACGAGGAGGCTTTGACCCTGCGGCGGATCCACTTCAGCCCATCAAGGATGATGATCGCAGTCTATTTGATTTCTTGAGAAAAAATGGCCCTGGTCCTTTCAACTGTATCAGGCAGCTGATGCATTTAGTTAGCACCTTTGTGTTGTCAGAGGCCCTGCCAGACACTACTTATTGGGCGGATTCAGCACTAGAGAAACTGGAGGTTGAGAACAAGAGGGTCACCATTAGCGGAATACGGAATTGCATTCACTTACAGCAGAAGAAGGCTGATGCAGACTTGGCCAAGCTGCTCAAAGGTTGCAAGATGCCAGCGTTTGATCTGGATTTGTACAAGGAAGAACCTCATAGTAGGAAGCCATTTACCAACTTTCTGGACCATTTGGGTGACGAGCATCGAAAGTATGGGCATCATCTGTTGAAAGAGTGGGTTCGGCGGAAGGACGTGCATGGGTTACTGAGTGACAACTGGAAGAGTAGTATGGCCAACAATACCTCTATATATGATCCGGCGCTTTGGAAAAGGTCTGCCATGCTAGAATGGTTAGATGCGTTTGATAGACTTCAAGAGCGATTGTACTTTCTATATCATGTAGCATCGGGTCAGCCACTCCGTGGCACTGAAGAGATGACGACTCTGGTTGTCAACACTTGACTGAACCAGCAAAACATCTACCTGCGATCAGGACGATTTGTGTTTCTGATGTGGTATCACAAGAGTCGGAACATTACTGGCAAGAACAAGCCAAGATTGACGTTCCTGCCTAAACGTCACAGCATGTTATGGTTTTACTATCTAGCATTCCTTCGCCCCACTGCTATGTAAGTACTTTGCTCAAACCAATTAGACCTGCCACATTTGACTGACTTGTAGTACCTCAGTTTCTTTCTCAAAGCAGTCAATAGCAAAGATATTGCAAGCCAGATGGCCACTAAACTGTGGGTGCACACCCGCAAAGGGCCTTTGGAAACATCTCACTTCACAAATATCCTGAAACGCAAGTTTGCAGAAGGTGGCATAGCCCAGCTGGGTATTTCAGGATGGCGGCACGTCTCTGTAGCTATTGTGGATGCACACATCAAAGACCATGTGGATGTATTGGAGTCAGGGAAGAATGCTATCATTGACTGTCAAAGAGGCCATAACAGTGCAACTGCCAATGCGTCGTATGGAGGGACAGGTGGTTATGATGTGGATCGAGAGTCTGAGAAGCGATACAAGGCAGCCAGCAAGGCAATGCACAGGTTCTGGGAAGTGAGTGTTAATGATTTGCTATTTACGAGGTTTCACACTAATGATTGTCCTGCTGATTTCATCAGATTGACGGCCCAGTGCAGAGTGGGATAGCTGATCCGCCCACCGATAATCCAATCCCGGCTGGTGAACTCTTGGAGCTTGCGCTGGAGAAGTATACAGGCATACGGCAAGCTGGAACAAGGACTCCCTTTCAGGCAGATTGGCTCACGATGTTGTTTGGACGCAATCACGACATGCTGGTGGTAGCGCGCACGGGAGGTGGAAAGTCTTTGGGTTACATGCTGCCACCTCTGGTGGAGCACTCTGGTATTACCGTGGTAGTACAGCCTCTGGTGGCCCTAGTAACTGAAACCTTGGAAATGTTGAAGGAAAAGGGTATAAACCATATTGTGTTTCAGGCTGGTGCAGAATGTGTGATTGAGAAGTGGCATAGGGTGGTGGTATGTACAACGGATGCTGCAGCTGAAGAAGAGTTCTATGGCAAGTTACAACGCCACAAAATCAATCAAATTATCATTGACGAGGCCCATTGCTACAAAGACGATGTTACATACAGACGGTACTCTAGTGGCGTAGCAAGACTAAGGCAGCTCAATGCCCCTTTTGTGTTTATGACTGCAACAATGCAAATCGGCCATGAGGACTACCTGTATTGGCTGTTTTGTATCACGAATGTGAAGGAGTTTACAGAACCCACTGGACGACCAGAACTTCAGTTTAAGACGGTGAGAAGCAGCAACTGGGAGGCTATGATAGCTCAAGTGGGGGATATTGTGACTCACTCTGGTCTGGTGGATTGTGATCGTAATATTTTATTTATTGAGAACAAAAAAGAATGCAACAATGCCATGGACGACTTGAAGAAATTGTATCCGAACCTATCCATCACAAAATACTATTCTAAATTAGAAGAAGGTGAAGGAGCAGCAAATGTCAAGTTATGGAAGACGACCCCCAAGTGCTTGATGGTTGCGACTAGTGGATTTGGAGCTGGCATCAACTACAAGCATGTGAGGAATGTGATGATATTCGGATTGCCAGAAAATGATACTGAGATCAACAAGTGCTTCCAAGAGGCCGGCCGGGCTGGTCGGGACATGAAGGCAGCCACTGTGTGGTTATTCGAGACTGGCAAGCCTGAAAAAGGCAGTTTTGCTGAGAAGATCATGGACGAAAGGAGGTGCATAGCTGAGACCTTTGCAGTGCCTTTGGATGGTGAAGCCAGAGATTGTACCGCGGTAGGATGCTCCAACATGTGTTCTCATTGTACGGCCAAGAGTGCAAGCGCAGGTCACAAGCGTAAGGCGATAGAAGAAGAAGAGCTACCATTACCCGGGACGCAGGCCATGTACCTGGCCAATGTGAAGCGGGCCTGCGTGCAGGCCAACATAGTTGATCAGATTGCCTTACAAATCGTCAAGGTCCGGCGAGAAATGGCAGGCCTGTGTGGGTACTGCCTTGCTAAGTCACACGATGAGACAAGGCATGGAGACAACGGCAACAAGTGCGACAAGATTGGCTGTATGCGATGTACCGGAGGTGAGATGGATGTACTGTGTATTGTGAGTGAGACCACAGGCTAATCATATGTCGTTACAGGTGATCATCAATGGTCAACGTGTAAAGCGATAGAAATGTCCAGAGTACTTGGCAAGAATGGCAGTGCTGCTTACCGATTATGTCACTTTTGTGGTCTTGGGGATGGACATGGGCAGGACAAATTTCATGATCAGAGGATTCAAGGCCAACTGAAGCGCTGTGACAGTGGCCTTCAAAACGTGTGTGACCAGTTTTGCTGGTACCATTTTCATAATGAGAGGAATTTGTTAAGTAGTCTCATCAAGATTCTCAAAACCAGTGACAGAGTTGTCCATATGCGCGTTGCCGATGTGGGGCATTTCCAACAGTGGCTCGGAGCACGCGGATGGCTGGGATGTCCTTGGGCCAATATGGTGACTTTGTTCATTGTATTACGTTATCCTGATATGCGCAAACTTGCTCAATCATATGTAGGTTGAAAATATTGCACAACTCTATGATAATGAAAACTATTTCTCCTTGAGACTTCATGAGAATGAAACATGAAGAGCTAATTTCAAGTGTGCCATGTCATGCTTGTAAGCGAAGAGCTGCGAATTTGTTCATTTGGTGACAAGGTCTGGTGACTTAAAGGTAGTTGCGTCGATGTGTCAAAATCCGTGATCATTCAACGCCTTGCAACGCAAATGAAATAAGCGTAGGTGACATGTTGGACACCTGAGGTGGTACATGCAAGCCTGGCGTTCAGAATATCGCCCAGGGCGATAATTTGAGCGCCATGTGTCACCCCAGTGTCCCTGCCGTTCATAATATCGCCCAGGGCGATAATTTGAACGCCAGGTGTCACCCCAGGGTCCTTGGCGTTCAGAATATCGCCCAGGGCGATAATTTGAGCGCCAGGTGTCACCCCAGTTGTCCCTGCCGTTCAGAATATCGCCCAGGGCGATAATTTGAGCGCCAGGTGTCACCCCAGTTGTCCCTGCCGTTCAGAATATTGCCCAGGGCGATAATTTGAACGCCAGGTGTCACCCCAGGGTCCTTGACGTTCAGAATATCGCCCAGGGCAATAATTTGAACGCCAGGTGTCACCCCAGGGTCCTTGGCTTTGGCAAGATAGCCCTGGTTATTTCTCAGGCTCTGAGTTGTCCCTTGTGATCCCATACTCAGCGGTTCAACTGCTTTACACCACATTTTGAACATCATGGACTCAATATCGCTTTGGGTGTAGGGATTGTGGGATGACCATATCTATTGCGTGACATGGTTGAGTTCACGTCCATTTCAATCCTAATACTGCCTTGTAACCAGGGATTGTGGGATGCTCATATATATAGCCTTGCATGGTTGAGTACATGTGCATTTCAATGCAGCTTTTCTTCTGGATTGATTTTGAGTGTGATCAACTTCACACTTGCAATATGGAATGTGATCTTGTGTTG